GCGGGGCACGGCCGCGTGTGCCCTCGGGCAGGTGCAGCTTGGGCTTCTGCTTCTGCGGAGGGCAGGCTCCTCGTTGCGTGAGCCGAGGTTCAGTCCTCATCCGGGGCAGGGCCGACCGACAGGCTTCTCAAGTTCCTCGCCCATCTGCCCCGCTTCGTCCTCGCAGCTGCGTCTCTTGCGGCCTCTTCTCCTCGGCTGCCTTCTCTCTTCCGCCTCTGCCTTGCATTTGGCCGGGCTGGGGGTGGGGCTGGGGGGGCGTCATTGCCAAGTCGGGAAACTGGAGGGCTTTCGCCTCGACCGGCCTTAGGAAAGGCTCGCGCAGTCAGCCAGAGACGTATCGTATTTCGTAAGCCAAGGGTCAAGAGCAGAGAGCCGCTTATTTAAGCGTTTGGAGCTTTGTAGCTTCTGGAGAAAGCCAGACCTTGGGAAACGAACACACTTCTCATTTCAAACGGTCGTTCTCAGTTTTAGCAAGGTGACGGCTGACCTGAATGTGGGACTGCAGTTGATTCCCTTGGCGAGCCAGGACTTTCCCCGCTTGCTTCACTGCCTTCTCATACATAATCTTGAAAGCGTGTTAGTTGTTTATGGGTAATCTTTTTTTTTTTTTTTTTTTTTGCTTTTAAAAATTGTTTGAAGAAATTAAGCTTCAATATCAAAGTAAAATGTGTATTCTGTAAAGTTCTCTTTTGTTTAATTAGGTGTTTGGGGACCAGTAAATCTGCCTGGTTGAACTGGTGGAATCGAATTAGTAAGTTTGTGTAATAGTTGGCTGTTTCTAACCGTGGCATTAAGATTCGTGTAATGTTCTTCATAGAGGATTTAGAGCTAAGACCTTTAAGTAGGTAGCTCAGTGAGGATTCAGAGTTCAGGCCTAAAGGTCAGGACCTCTCGTCCCAGCTCTGCCTAGACTTGCTGTGACCGGGGCAAGCACTTCCCCTCTGCTCCTCGAAACCACCCTCTCTGAACTGGTGATGCAGATCTCTCACCTACCTCACAGGGCTGTTGTGAGGATAACCTGTAAGTCACTGGAAAGTCCCTTACCAGGAAAGTGCTTATGAAGAATAATATACTAAAAGGCTTAGTCTAGATGGAGCTTTAAGAAATGCTAACAAATTCTGAGGAACTAAATATGTTGTATTTATCTTTTCAATCTTGGCCATTAGTTATATAAAATTTAATCATAAAATTAGGAAAGGCTTCCTGTAGTGTCTCTAGTACACGCTTTGCTCCAAATTGGCCTAACAGTATAAGTCACATTTTGTGATTTAGTTTAGCGCCGTTAGTTTAGCGCCGGATGTTTAAGTGATCGAGAACAAAACCTCTCTTCATAGTTTAGGGACTTGAATGTAGATTGTGAATGCATATGCAAGGGAACCTGTTGGATGTTTTCCTACCAGGAATTCTTTGTTGTTGTTTTGCTCTAACATGGGTATTTCCTCCTAGGTAAGTGTCCTGGGAACCCCTGCAGAGGAAGATGGTGGTGGCAAAATTGATTTAATCGAAGCAGGGGCTTTTCAAAACCTTGATGTTGTTTTCATGGCCCATCCATCCCAAGAGAATGCTGCTTATCTGCCAGATGTGGCTGAACATGAGTAAGTAATCTCGTTGAAGATAAACCACTTAGTGGAAAACAGACTATAGACCAGTGTCTAAACCAGAGACTAAAACTCCGCATACACATTTAAAGAGTAAATGGAAAGATAATGATATGATGTCTTGATTTCTGTTGAATGATGCTTGGCACGCTCCTTCTAATTGAGATTTATCATGTGCTCATAATTAGAGTGTTAAAATAGTAGCACCTAAAAAGCATAGGAATAGCAGACAGGATATGTGGACACTTAAGTTCCGTTTTCAACTATATAATAAAGTAATCTAGCCGGGCTTGGTGGCTCAGCCTGTAATCCCAGCACTTTGGGAAGCCAAGGTGAGTAGATTGCCTGAGCCCACGGGTTCAAGACCAGCCTGGGCAGCTTGGCAAGACCTCGTCTCTACGATAAATCAAAAACTTAGCCAGGCATGATGACATGCCTGTAGTTCTAGCTTAGGTGGCTAAGGTGGAAGGCTTACCTGAGCCCAGCAGGTCGAGGCTGCAGTGGCTGTGAGTGTGCCACTGTACTCCAACCTGGGCAACAGAGTGAGACACCAACTCAAAAAAAAAAATTTAAAAAATTAAAAAATAAAAAATAAAGTAATCTAATTTCTGGAAAGCATCTATCCTGCCCCTGCAAGGGTCGGGGGTCTCTCGAGGTGTGATGGCGTAGGTGACTCATGAGAGAAAAGAAACTAGAGGGAAAGAAACTGGACTGCTGTTCAAGTGGACAGAAGCCGTTTATTGAATGTTATCCCAGGGCTTTTATCCCCAAACTCTGCAAAGTCATCATCACAGGAAACAAAAGGTAGCATGTGCCTCTCACACGAACAGATCCAGGTGCACAAAGGACACCCCCCCCATCTCAAGCAAATGTTTTTTCATATATAAGGAAGAACATGAGGAAGAACAACCACAGATTGTCTTTTTGTATCTTATGCTAGCTTAATGTCCCCCAAACCAGTTTCTTATGTGCCCTTAATTGTATTATAACTACATCATCTTGAATTAACATCACTCAATGTCTAAACCCGAAACCACCATAGTGAATTATTAACTTCTACTATTCTGTACTAATTGAAACTCGTTTTTATTAAAACAATTGCTGCTATGGTTACATTCTCCTAGCACCAGCTGGCCTAATTCAAACTTCACTGGCCCTCCTAAATCAAACTGAACTAACTATACTTCTATAACAGAATGGTTACTTAAATTTTCTTAGTCTATATAAGCTATTTTCTAAAACCTATATCTATAAATTTCTAAAATTACATCAAGAGAACCTGTGACTTACACTAAGGCTCCTCAGTATGACTCAAAGTTAAACTTAAATTGTTTAAAAGCAAAAACCATAAACCGTGGAAAATGGGAACAATAGACTCCCAAGTTAGCTGTGTACATTTATTTCAGTCTCAGAGTTTTCTGTTAGAGCCAGCAGGAGCCTTTCCTGGTTGCTTAATGGGGTCAACAGCTCCCGAATGCATCCTAGTGGTCTCAGGGTCCACGGCCCTCCCTGATCCCTAACGCTCAGTGGGCCTCCATGGCCGGCTCCCAACACCTTGATATGAGTAGATTTGCAAGAGACAGTCTATTAGACATGAAAAGAAAATACACTCCATTTTATTTATTTTAATTTGAGTTCTTTAAAAAGAGGATAAATTGCCAAGCACAGTGGCTCAAGCCTGTAATCCCAGCACTTTGGGAGACCAAGGCGAGAGGATTGCCTGAGCTCAGGGATTCAAGACCAGCCCAGGCAGCTTGGTGAGACTTCGTCACTACAATAATAAAAAAATAAGCTGAATGTGGTGGCACGTGCCTGTGGTTCCAGCTACTTGGAAGGCTGAGGCAGAAGGATTGTCTGAACCAAGCAGGTCGAGGCTGCGGTGGCTGTGAGTATGCCACTGCACTCCAGCCTGGGCAATAGAGTAAAACTCTAACTCAAAAAAACAAACAAACAGGATAAATTATATCCTGAGACAAACACGGAAGCAGAGTAGCTGTGGATTTTAGTGGAACTTGCCAATCTGTGCTTTTCAGATTTGTCTAGTACTGAAACCTTTTCTTTCTCCATATTGAGGAGCCTTTTTTAGTTCCCAGGAGCGGGCATCACTGAAGTGGTTTGAATTTTTTACACCAAAAGTTTTAGCCATGGTAGTAACCATAGTGGTTAATAGTCCAGTCACAGGAGCCACAGTTCAGCTACTTTGGGAAAACCATGTGTTCTCTGAGGTAGTGAGGTACCTAGGGTGTGATACAGAATCAGACCAGCAGTGCTTCTGGATTGTACTCGGGTATCTCACCTTTTTGCAACCTCCCAGGCCTTTGTTTTAGAAGGTGATCATTTATTTTTAATTAATCTGGTGTTTTCGTTCTCATCATGAATTGGTACCTTGCCAGTTGGAAGAATCCTTCAGCTTTGGTTTCAGGGTGGTGCAATTATACTAGCATACCTCTGGAAAACATTGGAGATTAGAAATCTCTCCATCCTCTGTCTGGAAGGGACCTGCAAATGCGGGCTAGCTTCCCAGCCCATTGACCTTCTTGGACTTAGAGTTATGCTTCTTGGTCTTGATCCTGAAGTCAGCCTTTTTGGCCCAGACCTCTTCTTAGTGTGTGGCTTCTTAGCTTTCATTGGTCTTTAAAAAAAGTTTTTTTAGAGATGATGTCTTGCTATGTTGCTCAGGCTGGTCTTGAAGTCTTGGCCTCAAGTGAACCTCCTGCCTTGGCCTCCTAAAATGCTGGGATTACAGGTGTGAGCCACTGCCTCCAGCCTCATTGGTCATCTTTTAATATGGTAAAGAGAATGAGATCAAGAATTCAGTTTTTTAGAGCCAGGTATGGTGGCTCATGCCTATAATCCCAGTACTTTGGGAGGCTGAGGTGGAATGATTGCTTGAGGCCAGGGGCTCGAAACCAACATAGCGAGACTCTGTCTCTAAAATATGAATAAATAAATAAAATTACTGACAGGTGATTTTCCATTCCTGTTCCCCCATAACATCCCCCTTCTGAGTCTTCGTTGTCTGTTATGCCGTTCTCTGTGCCTTTGCAGTTGCTTAGCTTAGCTCCCATGAGTGAGCACATGCAGTATTTGGTTTTCCTTTCCTGTGTTACTTCACTTAGGATGAACTTCCATCCAAGTTGCTGCAAAAAGCATAATTTTTTTTTTTTTGAGTTGGAGTCTCACTCAGTCGCCCAGACTGGAGTGCAGTGGCCGCTCCTGGCCACCACAGCCTCGACCTGCTGGGCTCCAGCGATCCTTCTGCCTCAGCCTTCCAAGTAGCTGGAAGTACAGGCGTGTGCTACCACGCCTGGCTAGTTTTTAAATTTATTGTAGAGATGAGGTCTCACCAAGTTGCCCAGGCAGGTCTCAGGCAATTCAACCCACGGGTTCAGACAATTCACTCGCCTTGGCCTCCCAAAGCGTGGGATTACAGACTGAGCCACCAAGCCTGGCCAAAAAACATAATTTGATTCTTTTCTATGGCATATTCCATGGTATATAGACCATATATCTACCACGTGGTGTATATACCACATTTTCATTATTCACTATCAGCTGATGAACGTTTAGGTTGATTCCACATCTTTGCAATTGTGAATTGTACTGTGGTAAACATACAAGTGCAGGTGTCTTTTTTGAACAGCAACCTCTCTTTGGGTAGATACCGAGTAGGAGGATTGCTGGATCAAATGGTAGATCTGCTTTTAGTTCTTTGAGAGATCTCCATGCCACTTTCCATAGAGGTTGTACTAATTTACATTCCCTCCAACAGTGTATAAGTGTTCCCTTTTCACCACATCCAAGCCAACATCTGTTGTTTTTTGATTTTTTAATAATGGTCATTCTGACTGGTATAAAGTGGTATCTCGTGGTTTTAATTTGCATTTTCCTGATGATTAGTTGAGCATTTTTTCATATGCTTGTTGGCCATTTATATATCACTGACAAAAATTTCTAACAAGGAATAAGATAAAGCAGGTTGTTCCCTAATTGACTGCCTTTCCCAAATCTGGTCCCTTCTCAAAAGGTATGTATCCTTTCAGGACTTTTGGGGCATATATGTAGGACATAAATAAATTAAATTATCTATATATTAAATTTTGAAAGAGGTATTCCTCTCTGAAGTATTCAGGTCAATATATTTTTCTGGCTTTTGCTTTTTTTTTGAGTCAGAGTCTCACTGTCGTCCAGGCTGGAGTGCAGTGGCATGCTCACAGCCACCACATCTCAACTTGATGGGCTCAGACGATCTTTCCACTTCAGCCTTCCAAGTAGCTGGAGCTACAGGTGTGAGGCACCACACCCAGCCCATTTTTTGGTTTATTGTGGGGATGAGGTCTCACTGTGTTGCCCAGGCTGGTCTCAAACCCGTGGACTCAGGTAATCTTCTCGCCTTGGCCTCCCAAGGTGCTGGGCTTTCTTGCATGAGCCACTAGACTCAGATGGCTCTTGCTTTTTTAAATTAAACAATATCTTGGAAATAATTCTGCGATTGGCCAGCCCCTGCAGAGAGACTTAGAGGGTCCCTGGAAGGTGTGATGGTGTTGGCGATTATTCTGGAGAAATAAAGAGAAAGAAAGAGAAGGGGGAGAAAGAAAGAGACTGGACTCCGTCTAGTGCAGAAGGCAATTTAATGGGGCAAACCGTAAGCCTTTTATCCTAAAGTTTCACAGGCAAGATCACAAGATTTTCACGCGAACACAAAACCAGGTGGATGAGGGGCGTCCCCCCACCCACCAAGTGTTTCCTCGATCATGTGGAAGAACAATCCCAATATTATTTCACTGTTCCTTATGCTTGGTTAATGTTCCTCACAAACAATACAACAATTCTAACATCATAATATTCTAATAAACAATAACTTCTAAAACTTATGCATTCCCAACACCTAATGACTAACTTAAATCCTAATGCCTTTCTATTCGGTGCTAATTTTACCTGTACTATAAAAAAACTCTTAATTATAGCTCAAACCAGTTCCTAAAGAATGTGACCCAGTCCAAAGATCACGCTGGGACATTTCCAGAAACGATTGATTATAATCTCTTAACAAAATGGCTATTCTAAGATCCTATGTATCTATCTTAATTTCTATAAAAGTTTTTGATTCCAATCCTAATATATAAAGCTGATCATCAGCAATAAAGCTTCTAAAATAAACCCAAATACAAACTGTAATTGTACTAAAGCCAAAACCGCAATTAGTAAAAAATGGGAATAATGAAATTTCTAAAATTAGCTGTATTCTTATAAAACCTCAAAATATGTTTGATCATGCTTGAACTAACATAATTCCCTGACGTAGCATGACCTATTCTACAATACTTTCTATGAGTAAAATAAATTCAGTTTCTATAATAAGTAGAAAAAACCTACACTAATTGTAGCTAAAAAACCAGTTTAAAAGAATGCAGCCTAGCCCAAAGTGGATGCTGGGCCTTTAGGAATGTGGCCCAGTCCAAAGTCCAAATGGCCCAGGCCATTTCTGGTAACTCTAGATAATCATCTATACCGTCTAAAGCTGGAAACAGCTCTCTAAATGTATATACTAATTCTATAAATATACTTTTAAATCTCATGAAGAAGCTTGTATCATATATAAGGCTCCTGAATGTGACCTGAGTTTGAACCATAATTGATAGAAAGGCCAAAACCACAGTCTGTGAGAAACGGAACAATGGAATTTCTAGACTTAGCCATGCCTGTCATACTCTCAGAACTTCATGCTTAGATCATCCAAGTCCCTGCTAATGGATCGTGCCAAACAGCAAAGAAGGGAAGAGGGAATGGGCCTTCAGCTCCTGAACTCATCCTAGTGGTCTCAGGGTCCGCAGCCCGCCTGGATCCCTAATGCTCAGGCGGGCCTCCACGGCCAGCTCCCAACATAATTCCATATCAATTTGTTTAGAATATATTATTAAGGTTAAAATACTAATGCCGATAGACAGCAGCCATTAGCAGTTCTTTTCCTGTAATTTATTGTGCTTTAATTGTACATATATTTCAATCCTGGAAGAAATGATATTAGAGCCGTTTTCAAAAAGAGCTTCCTTTTCCTTTTTATAATATTTATCACCAGTTTTGATAAAATCCCAGTTTTAAGGTGATGATAAGATATATGTCAAGGAAATAAGTACAGTATCTTAAAATCTTATTCATATGTTAGATGCTTTAACTTGTTTCTGCTTTGCTGGTAGAATGTTTGGAATCAGTTAAGAAACAGTGTAAGCATTCTAAGGACTCCTGAATCTAGCCTATTAAAACAAAATAAGTGGCAGGGTGTGGTGGCTCACACTTGTAATCCCAGCACGTTGGGAGACTGAAGTGGGAGGTTCACATGAGCCCGGGAGCTCGAGAACAGCCTAGGCAACATAGCAAGACCTTGTACCTACAAAATATAAAAAAATTAGCTGGGCATGTAGTCTCAGCTACTCAAGAGACTGAGGCAGGAGAGTCGCTTGAACCCAGGAGTTTGAGGTTGCAGTGAGCCATGTTCATGCCATTACACTTCAGCGTGGGTGACAGAGTAAGACCCTGACTCAAAAAGAAAAAAAACGTGGTTTTCTAATCATCTAAATGTGGGCGCTGTTAATCAGATAGGCAGTTTCTAAGCAATTTCTCAGGAAGTCAATCACAGAACTTTATAAGTAGCTTTTTTTTTTTTTAAGTCACTCTGTCACTCAGGCTAGAGTGCAGTGGCATGCTTATGGCCACCACAGCCTCAACCTGCTGGACTCAGGCAATCCTTCCACCTCAGCCTTCCAAGTAGCTGGAACTACAGGCAAGTGCTACCACGCCCAACTAATTTTTCTTGATTTATTGTAGAGATGAGGTCTCACCAATTTGCCCAGACTGGTCTCAAACCCCTGAGCTCAGGCAATCCTGTCACCTCGGCATACCAAAGTGCTGGAATTATAGGCATGAGCCACTGTACCTGGTTCTTTAATACCCAGTTTGACTTTTTAATACCCAGTTATTTCTGTAAACCTGTTATTTTTTGTTTTTATCAGAGCAGTTAGACTGGTATGAGGACTATTTGTAAGGGGATTAACAATAATTTATACAAATTAAAAATATTATTGATATAGGTATTTTGGAACATTAATACAGAATTAGTTAGGAACAACTGACTTAATGCTAGGGTATCTTATGATAATATTGTGAGTATAATCGGATTTTCAGATTAAGCCATTTCACATGTTACCTCCCTTGTATCTTTTCTGACCTTCCCCCTCTTCAGACAGAATTTCTGAGTTTTTGCAGACTTTTGATGTAGAACTGTTACAGTGCAACTTAAAAGGATACAGGAGGCATTTTTTTTTTTTCATAAATCCGGCACCTAATATGCTTTCTTTGTGTGAGGCACTGTGTTGCATAATTATAAACTATCACTGACATAAATAAATGTTATTACTACAAATGATTTACAAGTCAAAATTCCAGCAATGTAAAAGAGTTTTGAATAACACTCAGATGATTCTAACTCTTGAACTTTCTTGCTTTGGCAATATTGGGAAAAGTAGTTTCAAATGATTTTTTATTTCCTAGTGTGACTGTGAAGTACTATGGAAAAGCATCTCATGCTGCTGCTTATCCCTGGGAAGGAGTAAACGCCTTGGATGCCGCTGTTCTGGCCTACAACAATCTGTCTGTGCTGAGGCAGCAGATGAAACCAGCCTGGAGAGTTCATGGTATGAATGTCAGGTGCTTTGTATGATAGATGGTGCTTAATATAGTTCAATGCAGTATGATTTTTAAATATTTGACTTTTTAAAACAGTTGGAAACATATGTGTCATATGAATATTTTAAACTTTTAAAACATTTTCAGAAATGGACGGGTCAGGATACTAGAAAGTTTGTCTATACATGGGTAGTAAGACAGTTTGATTAGTGTACATAAATGGAATGGTCGTCTTTGAATAACAGAGATAAAGGATTTATGTAGGGAACAGTGTTCTTTCTGTGGATATTCAAAAACTGGAAGCTGATTTTCCAGTTATGCTCACTGTCTCTTCATGATAACAAAATGTTGTCACTTTCTCAGTTTAAAAAAAAAGATGTAATGATTGCTGGTTTTGTTTTTTTTACTCAAGTGCTGTAAATCCTGAGTGACATCTTTTAAAATTATGTGTATCACCATAATAATAGTACAGTCCTAAAGTACTGTCTTGAATGTACAAATTTATTTTTTGGTTTATTTCCTTATGATTTAGAAAGTTGTTATACTTTGATATCTGTTCTTTGTCTGATTTTGCTATAGGTTGATGTCGGTACAAAATGTACCAATTTTTCTGCCTTTGTTTCTTTAAAAGAAACACATAGGACTATGTATAAATATTCTTTTAAAGTATGTCATGTGAAATTAGATTTTGCATATCTATTTTAGTAATTACTTTGAATGGGTAAATCTTCATTCTCTGTTGTTCCAGATAAATGCATTTGTGATCCTTGTGACCTGCATTGATTTTTTTTTTCTTAGCATGAGTTATTTCCTTAGACCTAAATATCATTAGAATATTCATCAGATTCTTGAGATGTGAGGGTAGCTATAGAACCTCATACTGTTGATTTTTTTCTTTTTTATGTCAAAAGTTTATCAAAGTGTACAAGCCTACTGAAATAAAAATCTTTTCCTGAAAGTTAAGATATTGCTGCTTATTTTTGTAGTTATATAATTTTTTTTTTTTTTTTTTTTTTGAGTTGGAATCTCACTCTTGTCGCCCTGGCTGTAGTATAGTGGCATGCTCACAGTCACCGCAACCTCGACCTGCTGGGCTCAGGTGATCCTTCTGCCTCAGCCTTCCAAGTAGATGGAACTACAGACGCATGCAACCGGCTAGTTTTTGTGATTTACTGTGGAGATGAGGTCTCACCAAATTGCCCAGGCTGATCTCAAATCCCCGGGCTCAGGCAGTCCTCTTGCCTTGGCTTCCCAAAGTGCTGGGATTACAGGCTAAGCCACCACGCCTGGCCTATAATTTTTAAGTTTCTTTATAATCTAGATCATAGTTTCTTAATATTATGTAAATTTCTTTGAATAAAATACATATTTTATTTTTTTCCTATTAGTCAGCAACTATCACTCTCTGTATAGAAACATATGCTGTACAACATATGTCAGAATATTTGATAAAGCTAATAAGTTTAAATGATTTTTCTTTGTGGACATATTGGCTGGAAAAACTTAATGGGTCTATTTAAGCTTAAGTAAGTGGTCAAGCTTAACTCCATTAATTTGGTTCTTTTTATAGGTATTATAAAAAATGGTGGTGTAAAACCCAATATCATTCCCTCTTATTCGGAATTAATCTATTACTTCCGTGCTCCCTCAATGAAAGAACTTCAAGTTTTGACCAAAAAGGCAGAAGATTGCTTCAGAGCTGCAGCTTCAGCTACAGGGTGCACAGTAAGAACTTTTACTAGTTAATCTACGTTAGTTGGAGGTAGATGTGTGGGCTGGGGCTATTGATATTAAGCTATACTGGAACTAACTTGTCTCTTTTTCATTTGGTCCTATCTGGACTGAGACAAGCTGGCTGAATAGTTAATGTGAAAGGCTTCAGTTCTTATGTTTCACTCAGTGCTGCGGTAGCGAAGACAACAGGTTGTCCTACTTCCATAGTAATGAGAATTATTCTTGTGCCAGAACCCCTGCCTTTTTACAGGTTACATCCTTCCTTATTGGCAGATAGTCTTTCAGAATTGCTCTCTATAGTTTCTATAAAGAGAACTTCATGGCAAAATCAGCTAAAGCTATTTTTGGCGATGTTGTGGATGTGTGTAGTGGTGACATGAATATGTATAGTTAACTGGAATGGACGTTAAAATAGACACAGAAATTGGTCGAGAGGTTTTGTTGATATGAACTGTAAAATCAGTACCAATCATGTAAAACGGGGTGAGTTTTGGAACTTTATAGAATATGAATCTTGGCCTGGAGGAGCCCACAGTCTAGTTGGAAAAGCCAGATCTTGGCCAGTACCTCTCAGCCTAGCTGACTCTGTAAACTTTAGGAATGGTATCTGATATCTCTGGGCCTCCCTTCTCTCTTGACCTCTCTTAGGGTTCTTGTGGGAATTCATGAGATGTCGGTGAAGAAGAGAGAGCCTGGCCTTCGTATACATGACCTTATTTTTTTCTGTCCTCGTTGCTCTAGAGGTGGACGATGTGTTCACATAGTGCTGTACCCCACAGGAGCAGTAGCTGTCAGACAGTGTACATTAAGGGTCAGAGACCGGAAAGAGGGTCTGGGGCTGCCAAGAGGAGGGCTTTGTGGAAGACCAGAGACCTGAATGAGCGAGCTTGGAAGGGTGCATGCTTCCGGATACGTGGGTGAAGGACAGAGGGAGAGCATTCTTAGACAGGGAACACAGTCTGCAAAGAGAAGCAGATAAAAGCCATGTCATGCGAAGTAAGCACGTAGACCCACAGAGGAGCAAGGACATAGCCTCATGTGCCACTAGAGAAGACACGTGTAGACTTAGAGAATGAGAACTGCGAAGCATACATAGCCTTGGCTGATACAAACTAAGCATTTATTCCCTTATTTGTTTATAATTATACACGTTTTAACTATTTATTTATAAAATACGCATGTACATAAACTTTTATCATTACCTAATATCTCAGGGTGTACAGTATTCCCTTAGAATAAGCTTCGTTGTGTTGGAATTAAATCTATATTTTAAATAGACTTTTCATAATTTTTAATATTTTGGCTGACTTGTAAAGTCTGCTTGGTTGTCATTGTTTCTACCTTAGATCTTGCCAAGAATAAAAGAAATGTCACAGGCTGGGCTCGGTGACTCAGCCTGTAATCCCAGCACTTTGGGAGGCCGAGGCAAGTGGATTGCCTGAGCCCACAGGTTCAAGACCAGTCTAGGCAACTTGGCAAGACCTCATCTCTACAATAAATTAAAGGATTAGCCAGGCATGGTAGCACGCACCTGTAGTTCTGGCTACTTGGAAGGCTGAGACAGAAGGATCACAGGAGCCCAGCAGGTAGACGCTGGGGTGGCCATGAGCGTGTCCCTGCACTCCAGCCTGGGTGACAGAGTGAGACTCCAACTCAAAATAAATAAATAAATAAAAATAAATGTCATCTCAGGCTAGGCACAGTGGCTCACGCCTGTAATCTCTGCACTTTGGGAAGCTGAGGTAGTAGCTAGGAGTTTGAGACCAGCCCAGGCAATATAGTGAGACCTCATCTCTACAAGAATAAAAAAATTAGCCAGATGTGGTGGTACATGCCCATAGTCCCAGCTACTTGGGAGGCTAAGGCAGAAGGATCACCTGAGCCCAGGAGGTTGAGGCTGTGGTGAGCCATGCTCATGCCATTGCACTCCAGCCTGGGTGATAGAGTGAGACGCCAACTCAGGGAAAAAGAAAAAAGAAAAAAATGCCATTTCTACCATTTTATGATTGGATTTGCTAACATTGGCATTATCTTTAGTTTGAGGGAATATTGTCCATTTTGATTTAATCAAAACAGAATCTGTAAATCCACTGAATGGATATATGGCACTGGGCATATATAAACTGGTTCTGTTTCTTCACACAGTTGAATTTGTAAATGAGGACCACTGCAATTCTTCCTCATTCCTGTATTTCTCTCAGGGTACTTTTCTACCTTTCTGACCAAGCAGTGATGTCTGTGTCTGTTTGTGTATTGACCATTAGTGAAGCTGAGTTTCCCCCTTTTGGAGACTGAATCCTAGAGCAGTATTCTCAGAGTGTGGTTTTTGATCACCTGTGTCAGATTTACTTTGAGGTGCTGGTTAAGGTGGAAATTTCTGGACTCCCCCACACCATATTTAAGTGACTGAAGTTGACACTCGCTGGCTAGTATAGAGCTTGTTGGCGTTGTGTGGTTTGGTGCATATATAACATAAAGGAGATAAGAGTCCTAGGAACTCTAGATAGAAAATACACCTTTTTAAAGGTGAGAGATCAGAGAGAGTTTAAATCTGGAAGGGAAAGTGCTCCCTCTTAAGACCTCTTCCTGTTGGAAGAACTATCACTGGTGTGGAAATTAGTGAATTTGAGTTTTGGTGTTTTTTTTCATGTTTTATCTGAATTTGAGTTTTTAATTTCAGTTTGTTTTGAAATTTTTTATTAGGTGGAAATTAAAGGTGGAGTACATGATTATTACAATGTTCTTCCCAATAAGACCCTGTGGAAAGCTTATATGGAAAATGGGAAAAAGCTGGGAATAGAATTCATTTCAGAAGATACCATGTTGAGTGGCCCTTCAGGTAATTACGTCCTTTTATTATATATTGAACTGTTTGAGGAAGAGAAAGACAATCTTTGGTTAAATGGTTTTGTTTAATGGTTTGGGAGGTAGGGAGATATTGCTGGTGTTTTTAATGAGATTTTCACAACCGTAAATGGTTAAAAGAAGAAAATGATGAACTTTTCAGTCAATAGAATGACAAACGAGCAGACTTGTTATTAGAAATAGCTAATCTACTTTTTTGCTCTATTCTGAATATTTCTAGTGTTTACGTTTGTTGAGTTCTAATTTTATTTTTTTGAGTTGGGGCCTCCCTCTGTCAGCCAGGCTGGAGTGCAGGGGCGTGATCGCTGCCGCCACAGCCTTGAGCTCCTGGGCTCCTGTGCGCCTTCTGCTTCAGCCCCCAGGCAGCTGGGACTGCAGGCACGTGCCACCGTGACTGGCTAATTTTTTTTTTTTTTTTTTGAGTTGGATCTCACTCTGTCGCCCAGACTGGAGTGCAGTGACTGCTCCCGGCCACCGCAGCCTCGACCTGCTGGGCTCCGGTGATCCTTCCGCCTCAGCCTTCGAGTAGCTGGAACCACAGGTGTGCGCTACCACGCCCGGCTAATTTTTTATTTATTGTAGAGATGAGGTCTTGCCAAGTTGCCAGGCGGGTCTTGAACCCGTGGGCTCAGGCAATCCGCTCACCTCAGCCTCCCAAGGCGCGGGATTACAGGCTGAGCCACTGAGCCCGGCTGCTAGTTTTTTTAATTTTAATTTTTTGTAGAGACAAGGTCTCGCCATGTGGCTCAGGCTGTGTTTAATTCTAATTTTTAAGTAAGCTGCTAAAATGGGAAATGGACATTTTAATTCATTCTTAGTTGTCACAATAAGCAGGTCACTAAGTACTTAGTCATCTGGGGCATTTTCCGTTTCTGAGGAATAACAGACAATTAGACTGTAAATAACCATAAGTATATTTGGGGTTATTTTGTGTTTTTTTTTCTTTAAAGGAAAGTATGTTATTGCTAATATATTCACAAGCTGGAGATGTATCTTTTGTTTTAATAATAGACATTGATGAAGCAGACCCAAAAAGGCCTTGATGATAAAAATAGGGTGTCGGTGTTGTCCACTGAGATAAGGAGTTGAGGAGAAAGACCAGGGGAGGGTAAAGTAGGTTGTTGTAAATTACTAGCATGTTAAATTTGAAGCGCTTGTAGGATTTCTGAGTGGAGCTGTTCAGTACCTGTAGAATCTGGAACCCCACGAGACGTCCAAGCTGGAGATTTAGAAACTGCTGAAATATAGGAGGTAATTGAAGGCATGGATTGAAGAGCTTGCCCAAATACCTAGATGGAGAAGATGCCCAAAGATGAGACCCTGGGGGTCAACAGCATTTAAGAGACAAACAAAGGAAAGGCTCTGGAGGGGACAGAGGAGTCAGAGAGAAAGCCAGACGGTGGGAGAGAGTGGGGTCACGGAAGCCAAGCGGCAGAGGGGATGGAGAACTTCCGGAAGGGATGGACGAGTGATCGTGTTTGGTGCTGTAGAGATTAATAGAGCAAGCGCGGTCCAGGGTCCACTGAGTACTAATGAGAAATTCACGGATTGCCTGGAGGAAGACAGAGGAACCCAGAGCTGGGTCTCCCGTCTCTGCCCATGGCCCTGACTAGTGAGATAGTGGAGAGAGCAAAGGAAGACTGTTCTTTTTCTTTCTTTCTTTTTTTGAGTAGGAGTCTCACTCTGTCACCTAGGCTGGAGGGCAGTGTCATGCTCCCAGCCACCGCAGCCTCGGCCTGTGGGCTCAGGCGATCCTCCTGCCTCAGCCTTCCAAGTAGCTGGAACTACAGGTGCCCGCTACCACACCCGGCTAATTTTTTGGCTTATTGTAGAGATGAGGTCTCACCAAGTTGCCCAGGCGGGTCTCGAATTCATGGGCTCAGGCATTCCTCTCACCTCAGCCTCCCAAAGTGCTGGGATTATAGGCGTGAGCCACCACACCCAGCTGACTGTTCTTTTTCAAGGAAGTTATCATTCAGGGAAAACAGTGGGTGTAAGCTTGAGGGAAGTGTGGGAAAGAAAAGGGTTTTTAGCGAAGATACTCAAGAGAAGCCAACGCGGGTAGGTGTTCTGGAAGAGGGCGGGAAATCACAGGCATGCCCCTGGGGTCGCTGGTAGCTGGGGGTACGCCGGAGCTGGTGGGGCGGGGGGCTGGCGGAGACTGCCCCGAGAGCACTTGGCCAGGGACCGCGGAGCTCAGCACTGAAGATGAGGGTCTTGGTGTCAAGGCTGTCCTCGTGGGTCTGGACATTCTCCCCCGCAGGTTTCCGAAGAGCAGCGTAGGAGGGAGGACACGCGGCCGGCCCTGCCCCAGGCGTGGGTGCTGCGCAGCCTGCAGAACACCAGGGAAGCACAAGCGTCGTCTGGGCGCGGTGTGCAGACCCTGGGGTCTAGCGCCGCGCCACGTGAGGTCTGGAACGTGCCGCGGCTGCCCACCGTGCTCGTGGGTGGCCAGCCACCGTGCCCGCAGCGTCTCGGCCCCTAAGTGCCCCGAGAATTACCCGAGG